GATTGCAGCTGGTGATGATGCCAGTGAAGCTGAGGGATCTCTTTTGGCCACTCTGTAGAACGACAATGCAACAACTTCGTCCATTTGGCTAAAATATGAGAGACAGAGAGAGAGAGAGAGGGAAAGCAGGGAGCTGGTACCTTGTATCTTTGGGTATTTGAGAAGAAGCAGAAGCCCATATCGTACGGTGGTGCTAGTTGTCTCAGTTCCAGCGAAGAACAAGTCGAAGGTGCACGTTATAAGGTTCTTCATGTGGAAACTGGAATTGGGATGATCTTTCTCCTAGGGAAAAGGATGGGTTGTTTCTCTGGCTGAGCTGAGAAAAGTCGCCCTTTTTCATGTCATCCCAGGCCTTCCTTTTCACCTAGAGCTGTTGCATTTCTCTGCTAAGGTGCAGCAGCCATGTGGGGCATTGCAATGCTATCTTGAGCAGTAAACTCAATCTCAGAGCTACCTTCTTTCTAGCTGTGCAACTAAGGGGACTCAGGTACCAGTGCATCCTTCCTGTGCCAACTGCTTCCCAGTGAAAGAACTGCAAGACCAGACTGAAAATGTCCCTGTGTTTTGATAAGAGCAGATGAAGTTGTCGCTGTCCAAGCAGCTGCAGGCAGTGGTGGCTGCTGAGCATGCCAACCCAGAGATCTAAGCTCAAACACAGACAATATCTGGGGTATTGTCAGTGTCTTCGCAGTGCAGAGCTGGCTAGGAAAGAAGGCGTCATCCCAATGTCTGTGTTCCTTAGGAGAGTGAAGGGGCTCAGCATAGGTGTGTTTGTGGATGGGCTGAGGTTGTATGTTGCCTCCTTACCTCCTGCATTTTGCTGAGGAAGCAGTCGATGAAATCCTGAGGGGAGTTGGGATCTAGGGAGGCTTGGTGCAACTTCACCTCCTCTGCCACAAAGGCCTTTAGAGCATCAATTTCTGCAAATATATTGTGCTGGGGGCCAGGCAAGTAATCCAGGATCTTTGAGAACATCTGGTAGAGCTGGAAGGAAAGAAACAGGAAGGTTCCTAGCATGACCATTACCCCATCCTTTGGTATTAGCAAGAAGCCAAGGAAAGCCACAACCCTGTCAACAGAGCCAAGCAGAAGGACTATGAGGGAGGGCAGTCTGACAGGGCAGTAGGAGCTTGCTTAGTAGGAGTAGGAACCTTACACGTTGAGAAGAAGGGTGTTCAGAACTCTTGAGTAGCTACACTTAGCTGGGAAAACCAATTCCATTGGGGAGGCTGCTTCTTGATCTTGAATAATGTCCCTCCTTTGCAGCAGAGCATTGATGGTGTCCTAATTAGAGGACTGAAATGGGATTTCTGAGAGGGAGGTCTCCTGCTGGGACAGGGACAATGTTACTACTATGAAATGGTAACTGAATGTACCTGTCCCCAGTGGGAGTTTGTCATCTCAAAGATGTTGTTCGTGTTCTTCATCAAGGCCAAGAACTTCTTGTCTTTATAATCATATCGTTTCCCAAAGACGACAGAGCATATGACATTGGAGACAGCACAGCTCAGCATGTAGGTTGGGTCAAAAGGTGTTCCTGTGATATTAGAAAGGTTTCAGATTCTAAAAACCCTACCAAACTATGCCTATTTATGACTACTGTGGGTACTCTGAACTCTGCTTGTTAGAGGAAATAGAAGATATTGGTGACACTGAAGGGTCCTCCAAAATGAACAGGACATGATCAGAGAAATATTTACAGGTAGGTGGTGCCTGGACCAAACCTGTAGGAACTTCAGTTCTTTGCTAATGACATGAGCTCCCTTAATACAGGC